GGATGTATTTCACAACAGCTCTCAGTGGTTTTACTTGATATTCTGGGTTAAGACAGAGAATAAGATAGTTTATAGATGAATTGTGACACTCAACGATATTACATTTCTAAAGTTTGAAATGTCACAGCTTGCAAGATTTGATATTTCAGGTTCTGCCAAAGCCAAAAATTAGTTCTTGTATGTGTAACTAGATGAGGGATAGTTTTCATTTCCAAGTAGCTAAATCATCTCTTTATATATACTGTATATACTATCGTGTATGTTAGGTATAAGATATACAAAAATTTTTTAAGGCCTATATCTGAACCTTGTGCATTCTGAAGATTCAAGAACAATTTTGAAGGGAGTGTTGGAATAAAAATCGTATTTCATTTCAAGGAAACAGATTAATAGATAATAATAGATTAAAGGCAGGTTTAAGATTGTCGAGGGGGAATGTCAAACAGATTTGTCAAATGACTATGCATATAATGAGTCACAGCATCCACATATATATATTTGTTATATATGTGTAGTTGCTGAAGTGTATCTATTAACTGCAAAAACTGAAATACAAACTGTTCCTGTTTTACAGTGCTTCCCTATATGCATATGAAAATTATATAATCTTATAAAGATAAGGATAAATCTGAGAAGTTGAAGTAATAAATGGTTTAACTCTTTAAGAGATAGAAGATGAAAATACTTGTCTTTTAGAATGTGAAGAGAGGGTGAACATGCAGTAGAACATTTGAAAATATTTCCAGGAATGAAAGTGCAGAAGTTTGATATTTTTGTTTTTCTGTTTTCCCTTTCAGATATTCACACCCTTATTTTAATTAAGTTGCTCATATAAATACAGCAGGATTATTGTATTTTTGTAAATAACTCTTTACTGAATATGTCAACAAGATAATATATAGTGTATAGTGAGGTTTTGAAGTTAACAATGCGTGCAACATGGCAGATTGCAGAAAACAGATAATGCAGACTTCAAACCATCTATTTTTTCATGTTAAAGATAGAAAGTATACCAAACACAGAACAGAATCAAGTGTGCATGTCTCAGTTAAAATCAATTTTATGAAATATATTCTTCAGATATTTGGGACAAAGGGATGATAACAATTTATTTAGTAGCTTATCTGTTTCTGAGAGGATCACAATTCAGCTCTCATGAGGCACATTTCCACAGAGCCCCAGTATAATAAAAGCTTGTCAAATCTTTTTTGTACTAGTTTTCCAGATGGACTACTAGTCACTGTCCTTTTTTAAAGAGTAATGCATTCTATGCTGTACAAAAGTTTAATGTCAAATGCTTCAATATTGCCTGTAGTATCATCTGGGACACAAAGTGCCCTGTTCAGCAGAGTTCAGGGAAGGAGTGATCACCAGCTTCCTAGGATTATCTCTGTGTTTAAAAGAGAGCATCAGGCAGGGTTTGATGAGGCTCAGAGCCAGTAACTTTTGGTTTTGGCACTCATTTCTGTTTTGTTTTTCCACTGAGCTGGAAAGATAAGTCATGTGTAAAACCATTACTCTCATGTTCTAAAGAAAAAACTTTAATATCTTCATGTTATAATTTAAGGTGAAGAAGTAGTATAAATGGAGAATTCAATGGGAATTAACCACTTCACTGTCAAAAGCTGAGACTGAACTTCCACTTCAATGTCGTTAATAAAGTGCCTTATGTAGATCCTTAAAACCATAACAACAATAAAATATGTATAAAGTTCTTTTGCTTGCAAAATTAAAATTGATACATTTTTCAGAGGGAGAAACTTTTTCTCGTGAAAAGAGAAAATAACTGAGAGAAAGATATAGTTGAACTACTCTAGTAGCAAATAGCATAAGCTATTTAATTACTCTTTTTTACGTGGCATTCATCGTAGTCCTTTATTGACTTATAGGGAAAACTGCTAATATCTTTTCAATTCAAAGTAACCCAATCCCTAAATATTCTTATGAAGAAATTCAACACTAATGTCTCCAATGAAAACCTGTTAACAGAAAGTCCATGTATTCCTCAGGTGTTTGTTTCTACCAGCAAGCTACATGCAAGGAACACTTGTTACATTGACAGTCTGTGAAAATGAGAACACGTTTGCAAATCAGTAAGTCTTCACAAGGAACTCAAGCACTGGACACAGCAGTGTTGTGATACTGCTTTAACATCATTTCACTTAAAACTTTTACTTTATTCCACTCACCAATCTTTTCTGTACATGTATGTCAGCTGTTAGCAGTATACAATGGAAGATGGGTGAGATTTTGTCTGTAAACCACTCATTTGCCCCCAGGTCCAATGAACCTGTTCAAATCAGGACCTGGAAGTGAACATTTTGGAGAAGTTGTATATGCACACATTTGGGACTTTTGCTCTATAACCTTTAGTTAATATATATGGTCAGGTATTTGTACTATGTAGAGATGACCCCCATTTTTATGCAGCCCAAGGAAAACATGTTAAACTTTACACCACCAAAATATCATTGCCCATTTCTATCTCTGACTATTTCCAAATATTTTACCTAGTGAAAATTGCTCCTTATGTACTTATCCAGATGTGTCCTGAAATGAAGTCTCCACTGTTTGTGTGACTGACACTTTGAAACGTGCCAAACTCTGTTGTAGGCTGAAATGCATTAACTCTTTTGCAGCTGAATAGCATTTAGAATTGGGAGAAACATTCTTCAAATGAAACATATGACTTTTCGGTTGACTACAACTGTGCATTTGTTTAAATAATACTCCCAGCTCTATCCACAAATTTTGATGTAAGTGGCTTGCTACTTTTCTTCAGAAGTGTATTTACAGAAAAGAAACTTTGTCAATATCCCATACCAATATATATATTCCTCTTCATACTGAAAAGAAGCATGAACTATGCTATCTTTAATATAATTTTGATTTTTGATCTAGGTAAGCAAGTGATAGTCTACAGATAGATAGATATACATTTCATCATCTGAGATCAGAACAAACAGTTTGTGAATGTCTTCTGTTTTCACCTTGTTAGGACAGTAACCACATTCGTTGTCATCAGTTTGGGCTTGTGGATCATTCACCTACAGTACAGCTGAACTCCCTGAATAAGTCATTTGCTACAAGTAAGGTGCCTAGCTCATCTTGAAACTATGGTATCCTGAGGCCTAAACACAAGATGTTCATGAAGGAGGATGAAGATTCCTCTAGTATCAGTCAGTGAAGTATGGAATTCTAGTAAGCATATACTTCCAGCGGATGCTTTTTGAAATGAAACGTACAGCTAGTTATTTCAGTGAAGTTAAATGCTACATCCACACCCAATGGGAATCTCTGGCTCTACTTAATTTCAGACAAACTCCAGCATGCAATGGAAGCATGCAGAAGCACAACTATTTGTTGTTTGTCTTGTCGGCTTTGGCAGCTAAAACATATTAAACAAACATAACAAAAGTATCAACCTTCTCATCATAATCTTCAGTAAATAGGTCACAGAAAAAAACAGTTTGCATAGATGTTTCTAACTAGAATTACACCATTTGAAATCATATGGCAGCCTTTTATTCAGCAAAATTTCAGTGACTTTGCTATTATGGTAGCCACACAGGTTGCCTAAAACATCTGTTATAGCTGGAGAAAATAGTAAATATACACAATATAGAGTGGAATTTCAAAATGTGATTATAAAAGGTGTCGGGGGAAGGACGTGGTTCCTTACACAATGATTGTACTCTGCCATCAGTCATAACTGGATTCATTTTGTCATTGCAGAAAATGACTGTTATCATGTGATTTGAATTTGAGAAACTACACACTCATAGACTTCTGGGTTTCAAGAATGGGTTGAGTGAAGTGAGCAAAGGAAAGGATTAAAACCCTCTCTCCCATCATAAGCAGCCTCATGAAGTGAAAAGTCTAAGTATTCCGCAGTGAAAGTGCTTCAACCTTTACTTCCAGTCCACTTCTAACAACTTCTCCTTGACCCTAGTTGACCCCTGTAAAAAGTTTTCTCTTTGGTTCCCTACTGCCTCAGGAAAGTTTTGTCTCCCTTTTTTTTCCTCTTTTTTGTGAACTTCTGCTTGTCCCCACGCTCAGGAGAAAGTGAGCTGCACTAAAAAAACAAACAAACTGAAAAAAAAAAAAAAGGAAGAATTAGATTTCACCACTGAGCTGGCAAGAAATCCAGAGTTCTTGGCAGACACAGAGTCAATGGAGTGCCTGGAACATTACGTATTTTTGAGAGCAGCATCATGGGTTTAATACAAGCATGACGTTTTTGTACAGTGCATGCAAAGCTCAAGGACTCAGAAGGTATTCCAGCTAAAGCATTTGAGGGAATAAAGGAGCAAATTTTAAGCCCACCTACTGCTTACAAAGCACAGATCATTGTGAAAAACTTCCAAAAGCTTAAAATAAAAGAAGGGTAATTTAGAGGGACATTGTGTACTTGTGTTCTCAAAATTCCTCAGCTAATCAAATGCTTAATGTCCGTCTTGGTACACCTGAATGGAGAAAAAAACAAAACAAAACCAAAAACTCCAACCAGAATTTAAATACGATTTTCCCTGTTGAACTTATTTCAGTTCGTAATAGGCCTGGAGGCCTTTCCAGTAATTAATAATTTTTTAAAAGATCTTATCTGTTTTCTCTGTTTTTTTTTTTCCTACTTCTCCAAACTGAACATAACTCAGACCCCTAAATCAAACAGCGCTTAAATCATAATAGTCAATAGCAACCTTTCCATTTGCATCATATTTGCATCATGTTTTCGGCAATTTGTACTTGTAGATTCCAAATGCTGCATTAATACTGCAGGGCTGGAAGCACTCAGAATTTCCCTCATTCAGGCTTTACCTGAACATGCTGTGTCGACAAATGTTGCTCTATTAAAGAGAGGTGCAATGTAATGACAGCTATCTGTTACATATTGATAACCTTCATCTCCCACTGAGAAGGGTCAGAGAATGCCTAAAGCTTCTTCATCATAATGAAAAGCAGGAACCATTTCTATCATACAAGTATATAGTACTGGGGGACACTTTCAGAGTAGCTTTGCAAATAGGAATCAAGGTCACTTTGACACTGAGTTCTGTCTACCTTTCTTATTCCAGGTATATTGGGAGAAAACTAATCAAACAAGAAAGTAGCCTTTTTGGTAGCACTCAGAACTCCAACTTTCAGCTGGAAGTGGGAAATGCAGAACTGACGAAAGGGAACAGAAGTATTTCCAATTGTTTGAAGCTCAACAGCAAATGACAGGTTCAAGATGGAAGGGTTGTACCCATTCTATCTGAATTGTTTTTGTTCATTTCTAGTGACCCTGTTTTAATATGCACTTATTTTCCTGTACTATAGGACACGTAGAAACTTAACATCCCTCAGACAGCTTCGACAGCAAAGTGGTTAATGTTTGAAGAATGAGTCATTCTTTCCTTTGCCATGACACTGGGTTCTTATTGTACAACCCTGTACAGTACTTCGCAATATTTTTTAAAGATTTAAAAAGCAAAGAGTTACAAAACCATTTGCAATTAACTTGAAATAGAAAAGATAGCACTTTTTTTAAATCCCATTATATAGTACACCATATAAATTACAGAGTATTCAAATGCATAAATGCATCTGGGTAACATTTATCAAATGTAATTTTTTCATTGTTGTCGGGGGGTTACTTTTTCCAGAGTTTTTTTCTCTTTGTCCTAGACACCCCCATCTCCCCTCACTATCATGTATGACAGTGCTCCAGGTCTGAGACATTGCTGTTGCAATATCGCATGTTGTTGGGGATGTGGCAGTCTGTGTAGTTAATGCCCCCGTTTGGGGTATAAATGGGCTGCAGTCTGAAATCTCCTTTAAGGAGCTGATCATTATTTAAGGAGACAATCTGGAAGCTGGTTTCCGTCATCTCCAGGATGGAGTTGTCCTTCTTGGTCCCTGCCTCGCAGTAGTCATCTTTCCGACGGCCCCGGTTATATTTCCACTTCTGGGAGGTGTAACGCCCTTTTTTGTGCATGTGCCAACAAAAAATGCTGAGCAGGACCACAAGGACAAATATCACTGCACCCCCAATCAACCCTGCCAGCAGAAATGGGGAGCCCAGGTTCTGAGAGGTTGTCTGCTCATGGCTGGAGGGGATGTTGCTGCCATTGCTCAAAAATGAAGCCTTGGTTGTGGCTTCTGAACAGACAGTGTCTTCTCCAGTTCGGTAATTGTTGTAAGTATCCAGTGGAACCAAGCAAATCCGATAGGTGGATTTAGGCTCCAGATTTACCAAGCTTAAGTGTTGCTTCTCACCACTAACTATTCGTTCCTGAACAATTCCTCCTACCAGACTATGGCCCATTTTAACCCATGTAAGCTTATATGCCATCACGGTAAAAAGAGACATCCAGTTAACTTGGATGCAAGTGTCATTCACAAAATGGATGGAGAGTTGAATCCTTTCAGATATAGGAGGTGTCACCCTTTCTCTGTCCTCTCTGTCAGGCACAGTGGGGAGTGTGGCTGTGGTGGGAGTGAGAAGATTATATTTGCTAGCTGGGGGAGGAACTGATGAAGTGGGAACTAATGTAGTTGGCATGGCTGTAGCTGGGACTGGGGTGATGATAAGTGGCAGACCAGGGGTGGTGGTGGGGCATGATAACATATTCATATTGAGCTCTCTGACTGCCATACCTCGGACCTGCTCTGGTCCCTGGCACATAAAACCCCGTACATTGATAGAAGCAGGAATAAATTTGAGCCATTCAGTGACCCACTTAATACTGCAGTCACACAACCAGGGATTATTCCTTACAGTGAGTTGCCTCAGGTTGTGGAGATTATCAAATACCCCCTTTACCAACATCCGAAGCTGATTGTTGGAGATATCAAGCCGTTCCAGCTTACGGAGGTTTGAAAAGGCTGTAAGTGGTATATGGGTTATCTGGTTGTCCTGCAAGTAGAGCCTTAGCAGATGTGTACCTGGAAGATCGGGAGGAGGGTAGGTCAGTGAATTCCGCACTATTGAGAATTCCTTGAGCTTGGAGAGGTGGCTGAAGGTGCCTTCAGCTATGCCTTTATTAGTAAGGAGATTGCCATCCACAATCAGACGTTCCAGGCTTGTAAGATTCTGGAAAGCCAGGTCTGAAATGACAGCAATTCGGTTTTCGTCTACTCGAAGTTCTTGTAAGTCCACTGGAAGGCCTACTGGTACGCTGCTTAAGTGATTCTTGGACAAGAACAGAAGCTTGAGGCTGATGGCTTCCCGGAATGCCCCATCCTCAACGCCAACAGTGGAGATGGAGTTGTCATCCAGGTGCAGCTCTTCCAGCTTCAAAAGCTGAGCAAGGGCAGCCCGAGAAATGGTCTGAATGTTGTTTTCCTGCAGGTGGAGAACCCTGACATTCTTGGGCAGGTTCATGGGGAATTCATCCAACTGGTTGCCATACAGGTAGACTGTGTGCACAGACTGGACATTGTGCAGCTCTGCAGGAAATCCAGCATTATTAATTTGGTTATTATGGAGGTAGAGGACGGTTACACCCTCCGGTATCCCAAGAGGCACTGAGGTCAAGCTTCTCTCATTACAGTAGACAAAGTTTCGGTCACAGCGGCACACTTTTGGGCAGGCCAAAGTTTTGGAGACCTGCATGTAGAGCCCCAGGGAAAAGATAAGCCATGATTTCATGAGAACAGCCCAATCCGTGGGCCACATTCTAGTCCATGAACCCATTTCTAAGTTAAAGAAATAAAGTACCAAAGTGTTAAAGAACTGATTACAATAATAAAGCACAGGTAGTAAAATCTCAGGTCATTAAAATTGGCTTCTATTTATGTCCAGTGTTCAGGCTAGAGATAAAGTCCTGGAATTCAGGTATAAAATAATCCTTTTATAATTGGCCTACCTCCTACTTTTTATAAGAAAGCCACAGCCTTATTAGCCAGGGTTACGAAGTTTGTTGCCTTCCTCCATGTGTGCTGAAAGAAACAACAGCTGTGTCTTTGCAGGTGAGCAACAGGTTAATTTAAAGCTACCAGAAGTCATCTGTATATGAGCTGCTTGGAGGGATAATATTTCCTTTCACTGCAGTCTATTGGTGTTACACTCAGCTTTCTGAAGTCAGCAAAGTCCTCATATCAGCTATCTGCCAGATCTGGCCTGCCTGGAAAAGAAAAGAGAAAAGAAAAAGCTGAATAGCATGAAATGTTTAATAGGGAAGATCAAGACCACTGGAAGACTATTCTGAGGCTGTGCTCTTTATGGCTTTCTGGAAAAAAAAGCATTAATATTAAACATCAGCTTAATATTACTGTTAAATAATCTTGAAACAGATTTAATCAAAGTCATTGCAGTGATTGAAGAACTTCCAGTGACTTCAATGAAGGCTACATCTATCACTTGTGTTTGAGTATTGTACCTCCAGTCTTCACCCTCTCACAGTCTGTTTCAAATCCTAAAATTAAAACATTTTACAAACCTACAACTAAACCATTTAACTGGAAATTTTTGCTCAGGTTTTTTTTTTTCTTTTGCAGAACCGCTGACTTCAATGAATGCTATTCACTGATGCTTGACAGAGTAGATTCTGGGCCGCATTATTTAATCACACTCTAAGTTTTTTTCATTTCCGACCAGACTCTGGAATGTTCTGCTTCTATTTCTGTGATGCCATTATGTATATTCTGCAGTTTAATGCACACTGCCAGATTATTGCACCTCACTACAGTGAATATGAGGAGAGTCTTTTAAATAAGTATGGTAATCCACAAATTCAAGATACCCTGCTGTAAGGCATGTATTTGCGAAAACTATTATCTTGATATTTTTTCTGATGTGAATGGTGCTGTCAACAGACTTCAGAATTAGCTTTCCACTAAATGAAACAGACTCACATCTGCTAAGTTATTGTTTTAGGATATCAGGTCAAATTACAGCAGTTTTGCAGAAGAGCACTTTGAAATCACAAAGGTTAGGTACTTCTTCTGATTCTGCTACACAGTTGTCTGTGAATGGCTACATAAACAAATCTGTTAACTTTGGTATACATGAGTTCTTTACTGTATATTGTCAGCTTTTCAGTGTACTTTTTAACTTTTAGCTTCCCAGATACCATTTATTATTGAGATCTATAACCAAACAATTCAAGTCTCTAAAGCATGCAATGAAAGATACTGTATTGTAGGACGTTATCTTGTCTTGTTATATGCTTTTTTCCAAAGACTGATAAACAATCCTGCATTTTACATCTAATGGAGTATATAAACTTTGACAACTAGCAAGCATGTGTAGATCTCAGAGTCTTGAACTGCAGTTACATAAGCACAGTATTTTTCCAGATTTTGTTAATCCGGATCAAAACTCATTGGCTGGAATTTCAGGAAAATAGAATTTCAGTGAACAGAAATCATGTTTAAAAATATTTTTTCCTTTATTTAAGCAGTTTAAGCAACATCCAGGCAATTCAGAAAGAAATGTAATTCAGGAGTACGTGAAAGCTTGTTCTTCTGCTACAGCTGTGAAGTTTATAACGTCCTAAATGCTGCTTTTGGGAATCCCACAGACTGACAGTGTAGAAAGTCTCTTTAGGAGTCAAACTGTTGTAACCCTGCAACCTTGCATTTGTAGATTACTGTCTTTATTTGGAGCATCATCAGGTATCAGCCTCGAGGCTAGAACAGTTGGAGATAAAAAGTGAGACCCTGAAAAGTCCTGTAGCTTATGATTATTAACTCAGATGGTAAATGTATGCACTCTACTGTAATGCAGCCTATACTGTGTGTTGTCCTTTTCTAGAAACAGTAAAATTAGCTACTCCACTGCTTAAGGTTTTCTCTCTCGCAGGCATATTTCAGTCAAGAGAGGTTGCTTTTCAACTATGTAAGATGACGTAGAGAAACTCTAACAGGATTACATTCTAACATGAGCCCAAGTGTGACAGTTTATCCGCCTTTAATATGGCCTGGCTCCCATCTAGATCATATTGCTCTGATCTGTCATGACACTGTCTTTTTAAAATAAGAAAGGACGTGCAGAGCTTCCTCTGAGATGCTTGGGAACACACAGAATAATAATAGTGGTTCTCTCATTCCCTTTCCATCATCTGAGAGAGATAGTCTGTACCTCCTAACAGAGCCAATACCCTTCAGCGAGCTCTTTTTTGATTGTAAGTCCGATTGCTGATTAGGCCCAGCTGAGGATGTGCAGCCACAGGTATCTGCAGCTCCCAATTTGTTGGGAATTTCCTAAGGAGGAAATATCATACTAAAACTGATTTATGCATTCACCTTATTCTAGGACTCTGCCTAGAGTACCTCTCACCTGAGTAAATCTGGCAGCTGAATAACGTATTTCAGTAACAATTCCGGCAAATTGGGTCAAATACATAGCACTTCTCACTAGACATTACAAGTAGAAGAGCTCTGACTGGACAGTCACCTAAGCATATCCACACTTTGGAAGCTAGGACTCTGGAGTTTATCTCCTTTTTATTATTACATGGATTTCGCCCGTAGAAATCTGTTAAAACTTTCCTACAGTTTTGTCCCCTTATGATGGCAAGAAAGGGAGTCCTTTTACTAATGCTAGTATCTTAATCTCTAGCTATCAGTCCTTAATAAACTGATACTATAAAACTCAGTACGGAAAATATGCATTGGCAAATACTGTTGACTGTATTAAGCAAGAGCACAAGGACAAATCTAACTAGATATTTATCATAGAATCATAGAATCATAGAATCGTAGAAAGTTTTGCGTTGGAAGGGACCCCTAGAGGTCATCTAGTCCAACCCCCCCACAGCGAGCAGGGACACCACTAACTAGATCAGGTTGCTCAGAGCCCTGTCCAACCTGGCCTTGAATGTTTCCAGGGATGGGGCCTCCACTACCTCTCTGGGCAAACCGTTCCAGTGTTTCACAACCCTCATTGTAAAGAATTTCTTCCTTATATCCAGCCTAAACCTACCCTGTTTTAGTTTAAAACCATTACCCCTCGTCCTGTCACTGCTGTCTCTACTAAAAAGATTGTCCCCATCTTTCCTATAGGCTCCCTTTAAGTACTGAAAGGCTGCAATCAGGTCTCCCCGCAACCTCTCTTCTCCAGGCTGAACAAGCCCAACTCTCTCAGCCTGTCCTCATAGGAGAGGTGCTCCAGCCCTCGGATCATTTTTGTAGCCCTCCTTTGGACCCGCTCGGGCACAAGCTATCACTTAGTCGTTAGACAAAATAATTAAGTGAAACAAAAGTGGTCTTGATTTTCAGCAAATAATTGGGATAATTGTGGGATAAAAGAGACTCCTAAATAACTCTACTCCAGACAGCTCAGCCTTGGGAGGGCAAATGCGCTAAGCTACAGAGATAAGGAGGCACCAAGAGAGCAACAAGACTGGAGCAAAACAACCTGAAGGACATGATATACGTGATGCTAGAACTGAGTTTGCGCAGAAAACAAATGTCAATCAGTGAACAGCGTGATGAAGAGGATGGGCCTTCATCTTGGGACCCCCGAAGACCACCCAAAGATACTAGCAGACATGCGTGAAAGATATTTACATATGCTAATTAGTTCCTAGAAATATAATGAATAATTACCTGTGTGATTGTATTTAACCTGAAGCAACAGGGTGTCTGGCGCGCACGTTTGGAGGAGAAATCCCCCGTGTGCCCGGCGCCGCAATAAAGAATACCTGCTTAACAGTATACATTGTACTGTTAGGTTTTTCTTACCGGATCTTCGAATCACATCCCCCAGCCTGTATTGATAGCAGGGATTACCCTGACCCAGGTGTAGGACCTTGCACTTGGCCGTGTTGAACCTCATAAGGTTCACACAGGCCCACCTCTCCAGTTTGTCCAGGTCCCTCTGGATGGCATCCCGTCCTTCTGGTGTCTCGACCGTACCACTCAGCTTGGTGTCATCTGCAAACTTGCTGAGCGTACACTCGATGTCGCTGTCCATATCATTGATAAATATATTGAACAGCACCTGTTATGACTTTTGGGTTGTCTATGGTGTGATAGAGGGAAGGAATGAGGAAGCAAGGATACAACTGAATGTGTTTCAATTAATTTTTTGGGAAAAGCTTTACCTTAGTAGTCTTTTACAACTCTTTAATAATAACTGACATCGGTGGTCACAGTTGCAGTATTTTTCAGTGAATCTCAGAGACTCATGCAAAAGCGAGTTGTGTCCCTGTGTTAGAAATCTCTACCCCAAACATATTAAAAAGACTGAAGAGCTGAACCACCTGCTTGATTTAAAAAGAAACTCTGTGAAGGAAAAACATCCTGAGCCAATTCCAGAAGGCAGAAAAGTCTGAAACAGTTCGTTCTTTCTCACATTGCCAAAACTGAAGGCAGGTAGAGTAACTAAGCTTTCTCCCATCCCTGCCGTGTTGGCTTCCTAAAGCAAGCTCTCTGTTTTCAATATTCTTACAAAAACTGAACTAAGTCTCTCTATGAATGAACTGACTGTTTGCAGAAGTAGAATTCTGGAAGTGGAGGAATTAAGGGCATTAAACATCCTTAGCTTTCATGATTTTAAATCTTGGGAATCAACACATAAACTATAGATAGCAGCGACCTTGCTTATTGTGAAACCAGAAAGTTCTACAAACCAGTCTAGGAAGAGAGGATGAGGGTAAGGGAATCTGCCACGGTTAACTTAAAGAAATCAACAAGCAAATACCTCACTAATAACACATCTGCCCATCAGCACCTTAGTCATTTTGTTTCTGTTTCCTTACCCTGTACATTTGATTTCTGTTATTTCTAACTACATTGTCCTTGGAGCACAAGCCACACCTTCCAAGTGTCTAGGACATTTCCTGTCTTATTGCAGCCAGGATATGAAATCCCATTAGGATTTAAGGAATGATATAATAAAGTTGAGAGAAGCACATTGAAATAGATGAGAGCATATGCACATGTTTTAGGTGGTCATGTCTGAAAATTTGGCTTAGTGGCCTGAGTTCCTGACACCAATGGAAATGTTCCCTTTCATATCTTAAGAGGAGTTTCTGAGCAACATTTTTATCTCACTCTTTTTTCAAAACTGCCTTATTTAAATTCCCTTTTGGCATGACTAATGCTAGCTGGAGAAGAGCAATTCTGGCTTTGTGTACTGGATAAAAATTTGGTATTTGCTTTTGTTGAACAATGG